CATCATGGGAAACATTTGGGGGGTGCCTGGCAGGCGACCAATCCAATAAGGAGCAGATTGATTGGATCCAGCAGCCCTTCCTGCCTTCTCCTGAATCTGAGAGGCTTAGAGCTGGAAATTAGATTTTCATTCACACCCCAAATCCAGCGGGAACTCAACTCCATAACCCTAACAGACGCTGAGAAGCACAGCGAGTGTGTGTGTGTGTGTGTGTGTGTGTGACGGCATGAAGTTCAACATGTGTGTGTGTGAGTGTGCCTGCGATTATGCTAATGAGGACGCTATCCGCTCTGCTACTCATCTATTTCCGCCCACAACTTTGTGTGTGTCCATTTTTGAAACACTCACATACAGCTTGGACACATGTGGAAACGCACACACAGCTTGCATCCATGTATACACACATGCCGACACACTCGTGCACACACACAGGCAGAGACCCTGCGTGTGTGTGAAGCATGCTGTGTGCTGTAATTTCACCCTCTCCCTGCCGTGAAGAATAATTACATCGCTCGCTGACTGCTCAGTCTATCTCTCTGCTTCCCTCTCAACCGCATCTTCCACACACACACACACACACACACACACACACACACACACACACACACACACACACACACACACACACACACACACACACACACACACACACACACACACACGAGTACTCCCCCACCTTCGCTTGCTTCCCATTCCATCCTGCTTCTCCAACTCTGTCTCCACTTTATTCTGACCCACTCTCTAAAGTCCCAAGTCTTGTCGAGCTTGTCGTGAACATGTGTTTGTTACATTTAGTGCTTTTGATAAGTTGAGTAAAGCATTAGTCACAAGACAACGAATTACCACAACACCTCTGATGATGGATTCATCAGTTAAGTCTTTAATCAAGCAGAGAAAGGCAAGCTTTGTTAGTTTTCTGTTTTAATATGCTTCTCAGTTTCTTTGTGAAGTCAATATGTTTTGGTTTTGGAGCGCTGGTCAGACAGAACAAGCAATTAGAAAATGTCAAAGCTCCTCTCACACACATGCACCTTGCTGCAGCAGAATCACTCCTGCTCTTCTATCGTTCCGTTGGGTAAAGCTCGGGGTCCGTGAGGTGTTTGATTATTTACTGCAGGGACAGACAGACTGGTTAACCCTCGAGTCTGATCGTGTGTGAACAGATTGAGCGTCTAAACTACTCTAGATGTTCCACCCCTTTCAACACTGTCACTGATGGCCCAACACATTTCTTTAAAACAGAAACTACTCAAGACCCAGTCACAACACTTTAAGGGTCTGTAGATTAGATCAGAATAGAGTTTGAAGCTGCATCGAAACATGGTATTACTGCAACAGCATACTTTTTGGATCACCTGCATTCACACTAAAAAAACTTCAATATGTCCAAAACTCAGCTGCCCGCTTGCTCACCTCCACCCGACGCTCCGACCACATCACCCCTATCCTCCATGACCTCCACTGGCTCCCCATCAAACACCGCATTGGCTTTCAGTTCAAATATTACTTTTCACTTTCAAAGCCCTAAACAACCTTGCCCCCCCCCCTACCTCTGTGACCTCATCCAACGACACACCCCCACCCGTTGCCTCAGGTCTGCTGAAGCTAACCTACTGCAGCCCATCAGGACAAAGCTCCGGACCTGGGGTGACAGGGCCTTCGCAGCAGCCTCCCCCCCCTCACTCTGGAACTCCCTCCCCAGCCACGTCAGATCTGCCATCATTCTCACATCATTCAAACAATCCCTCAAAACTCTCCTTTTCACTCTTGCCTTCGACTCCTAATCAACTAACCCCTTGCCCTTATTCCTCCTCCCTTAGCACTTTCTACTTTTGTTGTTATTTTGTTTTACTTCCAAAGCGCTTTGAGCACCAGGAAAAGCGCTTTATAAATGTAATGTATTATTATTATTATTATGGTCTCAAGTTTCTCTAGTGTTACTAAGTATGTCTCTTTCTTTCTGTGACTGTGTCCATGATTGTCATGTGTAGAAAGTAGATGTGCTATGATTGAAAGAAGAAGTGACTGTAGCCAATATTTTGGGTTAGCCTGACCAACTAAGGGCAGAAACATGGCCCACTCGTGTGCTCAGAAACGTAGAAACTCTGAGCGATGAAAGACCACAAAGACCAATTTCATGTTTCATTGATCTTTGGAGTATCCCGGCTAATAGTTGCAGCCGACGGCGTGACTCAAAAAGAGAGCTGAATTCAGTTTGAGTTCACTTCTGCTCAGAACATCTCAACAAAGCTCTGGCCGTATATAGCTATGTTTTCTTATTTTTTCTTTTCCACAGATCAACCTCTTTGTTATCTCCACCTGTGTGTACGTTATCATGTTATGTTTGTTCACTGCTTTTGTACAAGGTGTTTTCTTTCACGAAGGTTGAAATGAGTGCACAAACAGCAGAATAGCATTGGATGGTACTAATCCAAACGCAACTAAGATTTGACATCCAGAGCTTAGACTTTTTTTTTTAAACAAAAGACTAATATATTTTCTAACAGTCCCTTATCTACTGAACATTCAACCAGAAGTCTTCAAAGTGCCACCTATCAGTGTCTGTGATGCAGAAAGTGAATTTGACATTTACTTCCAGAAAGATGAACGCCTGAAATAACTCCCACTGCCATGAATCCAGTAATCTCACCGCCTCCTCCAGAGGAAGGTCCATCTACATTTCTGCTGCCGTCAGGGTGTGTGTGAATGGATTTCTGCTGCGGTGTGTTCAGGGGGGAAAGACACAGCGTCAGCAGGAGGGAGATTATTGACACCCTCCCCAGCGGGATTGAGAGCACTTCATGTCCTCCGCCAGTCTATGAATCCCACTAATACCTGTACCATGTGTCCACACAACTCCGAATCCAAACAGTCTTTGTAATCCTCTGAAAACACCGCTGTCAGATTGATCTATCTTGGCAGTAACAGAAGCGTTACTCAAACAGTCTGCCCGTCTGCCGCTGCAGGAAGGCCAAGGGAAACGTTTAAAGTCACAGCGGGGATTTTCAGAGATTGTTTGATTCAACATTAACCTTGTGTGGATTTGGAAAGAGTTGAAACCCCATCAGATGACTTATTCTGATGGATTAGATTCCTCACATTTAAAATAAACACTGACCCCGTGAAACACGGAACAAGCTGTAACTCAACTCCAGATGAATCGTTACAATCTCCCTTTGATAGAAATCGAGTAAAGTATAACATAGCATGAAGACATACTCAAAGAAAGCACCTCACATTTGCACTAATGAGGAACCAAATTGCCTCAATACTTAATACCATTTTAAGTGTGAGTCCATGCACTTCAAACGTGTTTCTAGCTCTGCTTCCGTATCGTTGAGCCACTTGGAAAATGTTTGAAGTCACAGCGGGAATTTCCAGAGATTGTTTGATACAACATTAACCTTGTGTGGATTTGGAAAGAGTTGAAACCGCATCTGATGACTTATTCTGTTGGATTAGATGCTAAATTTGTCACAAGATGTATTAGAAACATGTAATGTGTCTGTTTGATAGATACGTTTTTTATTTGGAAAACTTAATGCATTCGTTTGTAGATGGTGTTTTGTATTTGCAAACCACACTGTGTTTGTTAGTGAATCATAAGGCATTTGTAAAACTTGTTTACCTTGTGTCGTGTCAAATTATCATACCATTTAAAACATATAGTCTTATACTCTGATTGTCTCTTACAATATGCAATTGTATTTGTAGTCTTGTATGCGTTTAACAGAGACATATGTTCAGGGTTCAGGAGGGCAAAAGGAAGTGTAAAAGGTGGATTTGCAAATGGTTTAGAACGAGGGGTTTTATGGTTTAATGGTGGGGATGTTTAGATGATGCCTACGGGATTTTAAGGGTGGGACCAGTTGGATATTCTCTACTATATAGTGTGACTGTAAGCTGTGTGCGGGGTGCACAACTTCTCTATCCTCCGACTCCGAGGAAGAAGTAGCTCTGTTCCTGCATTTGAGATCGATGTCACTATATGTATATTGACTTTCTTTATTACTTTATTAAATATAACTAGGGCTGTCAAACGATTAACACATTTTAATCAGATTAATCACACCTTAAAAATTAATTAATCATGATTAATCACCATTCGAACTATGTCCAAAATATGCCATTTATTTATGTATATTGTTGTGGGAATGGAAAGATAAATGAAAGAAGGCGGATATATCCATTTAACATACAGTATGTATGTTTATGTTTATTATAACATTGTTCTGTACGTCAAAATGAAAGACAGCCCACACACCTATCAATCATCAAACCGTGGGGTCTTATTTCATTACGTGTTGGGGTCTTATTTCATTACGTGTTGATTTCTATCAACACGTAATGTTGTATTGATGTATGTGTGTATAGAGATGTACTACAGCAAAGTACTCTCCGTCGGGACTTCCTGCAACAACACCACGCCGTTATCTTGATTCTGATTGGCCAGAAGACATTATCAAAGATGTTCTATTGAGAAGACGATCACTACGTGACAAAAGTTTTCAAAACCGTTTCTAGTCTTCGGTATTTCCAGACAAGTGGCTACTGAAATCAATCTTACTAACTGCTGTCTGTGCAATTTACTCCGCGCGAGTTGGCGGACTTTATTTTGCTTACTTTAACATCATTTTTCATGGTGGGGCTAAGCCGTTTCTTGGTATGGCTGTAGGCACACAGGGGATAGACATCATTTTTCATGGTGGGGCTAAGCCGTTTCTTGGTATGGCTGTAGCCTGCCCCACCCAAACCCTGGCGCTGCCACTGGTGGGATGTATGGGCGGGCCATTCTGCGCATGCGTTAAATGCGTTAAATATTTTAACGCAATTAATTCAAAAAATTAATTACCGCCGTTAACGCGATAATTTTGACAGCATTAAATATGACAAAAGACAAACTTTGTCCATGTTCAGTTTCTCTTAAGAATTTCCTCCACAGTTTGTTTGTGGAGTTATAGCAGGACATTAGATCCATAATGCTAGCTCTGCTCACTTACCGTTGAGCCACTTGGAGTTGTACTGGGCGGTCCGGAGGGGGGGCATGCCTCCCAGGCTGCGGTAGATGACGGGGTCCCGGCCGGAGAAGTCGATGACGGTGGCGGCGTACAGCTCTCCGCTCTCCGTCACCACCGCCGTGGAGTTGTGCCGCGGATCGTACGGACAGCGAGCCACGCCGTTCACCCGCTCCAACACGCTGCTCAGGTTCCCCACCTGATGTTGAGGAGGATACGGAGAGAAAAAGGGAAATAAGGTTGTTTTTTCTTTCTTTTACTTAACATATAGGAAGTGACCCCTAAGTAGCTAAGTGTCGGTCATGAAAAGAGCTGTTGGAATTATCTAGAAGATAGGACACAAGCTTTAATGCTTCCTTTATCATCTCCTTTAGCTTAGGATACAGTAGTTCATGCTTTACAAAAGGAAAGGAAAGAACGCCGTCCAACTATTCCTTGCGGGTGCAACGAATAATGTGAAGCCCCAATCTGCATAAACAACTGATTGTGATCGTCAAACATGATTCGTGCTAGTTATTAAGGATTTTCCAAATGATGCCATATCTTGCTAAAGTGCTTATATGTTTTGAACTTTGAATAATATGGTAAACCAAAAGGAGAACTTTTAATGGGACACATAATATAATTGTACAATCTTTAAAGAAGTCACATTTCACGGAGTTGGATGGAGTTTCTTAAGCTGTTTATTTGCTAACTCAACATGTTTAAATGGCGATATGCACAGAAGTACATTTGGCCGATGTGTAATGCACATTTCGCATGTATTATTCATTCAAATATTATACAGAAAGGACACTAATTAGGATTGATGTGGATTAACACAAGCGATACGGAGTGTGAGCAACCATTTCGTTTATTTTTTCCTTCTCATTTAAACCTTGGTAATAAAGTAACATATTTAACACCGTTGTCCACGTTTATAAACCCTGCATGAAACGACATGATAAGCCCCCGCGGGGCAAAGTATCCAGAAATGCTTTTCATGAAGTAAGGGGTCCATCTGCAGAAAAATGGTCGTTTCCTCACAGCAGACACACATCAATACCATCGATCGCTGCATCATAAATAAGTGCTGTCTCTTTTCCACAAGTCCTGATGAATTCTCCTTCACATCCTTCCTTAATCCCAGTAGTTTTTTATGGAGGTTAAGGAACAGTGGTTTGGAAAAGACAAAGGACCTGAGGGCTACAGTGTTGTCAGCTCATTTCAACAACATCACACACGCACGCACACACACCCACACACCCTTATCCGTACCTCTCTGGTAATGCATTGGGGCTGGAAAGCATTGGTTCCGCAGGACATGACCTCAGTCTTGTTCACCAGCAGGACTCTGATGTAGTTTTGACATTCAATCTGCGGAGAAGTGGGCCAAGACGAGAAAAAGCTTTCAGAAAGTTACAGAGGAGCAGAGAAAAGCTGAGGAGGCAGGATAAATATTCTCTGACGTGTTGCTGAGAGGAACAATAGAGCCGGTCCTCTGGTATCAGACCGGCACGCAACCAAAAGCAATTCAGAGTCTGCACATTTCCCTCTTGTACGGCCATTGTTCAGAAACAAGGAAAGTGTTGTGCAGCTGAATGGAAGCCTATTTGTGACATCGACTGAGGCGCTGCAGTGTGTGTTTCTGTAAAAAAGAGTCAAATCTGTTTTAACAAAAGGCGTGAAATCGATTTATTGGTGTTGAAACGGTTTAAGTTTCTGGGAAATGGTGGCCCTTTGTGTCCGATGTGAATGTAGTGAAGCAGGTCTCCATAAGAATTGATTGTTTTGCGTATTAGATCTCACCCCTCGCTCTGAAGGCACAGGGAGATACATGTGACGCTGCAATCAGATACTCACAAAATAAACTATAAAAGCTGATGCGTCGATGTGTTAGAGCAGGGGTTCCCAAAGTGGAGGTCGCGAGATGATTACAAAATAAAAAAGGAAAATTTAAAAAAAAAAAAGATTTAATTAATTAATTTTTTTTATAATTAAATTTTTTTTAAATTATTAATATTAACGTTTGCATAGACATTTTCAGGGGCGGACTAGCCATCTGTATAATTTCCCCGCAACGAGGCTCCCCCTTTGACAATCCACTAGCGCAGTGTTTCTCAAACCCCCCACCCCTACACAAAGAAAGGAAGAATACTATTGTAAAGGCCTATTTTCTGTGTTGAATGTGTGTGCATTATTTTAATTAAACGCGAGTCGCACAATATCAATACATCATCGAACAAGTCATCACAACAAGTTCAAACAAGTTAACAAAAGATATCGCGTCAGATCTGTCTGTTAAAGCGTCTCAGTGGCTTGATGGAAACAAAGGAAGGAAGCTGTGACAGTTGTTTATCAGACATATTTGAAAGGAAGTCCTTACAGTATGTGTGTCTCACTATCTTCCCCTCTTTCTTTCCCTCTTTCCCTTTTCCGTTCAGCGCCAGAAAAACAAGCTTTATTTGAAGTCTCTGAAAAAGCAGTTTTCTGTGCAGAGCCTCCCATGAGGAGCAGCAGATATCAAGATGGCCTCTCTGTGTTGTAATTGGGGGCGGGATGGAGGTTACCTCTGTTTTGCCTTTGCTCTGACACGACCGCCGGGTGTCCTCGTCCGGTGCCCACTCCGTCGCCTAGGAGACAAAAAACAAGAAAACAGAGATGAGAAAGAGGCCGAAAGGCAGTCAGCTGCAGACACGACAAAACAGTTACGCAAGAACCGACTGTTGCTAATACTGTAGGCACGCACAACAAGACTTTAACCTCATTGCTGTTTGTTTATTGTGTAAACATGGCGACCGGCTTGCCCGCCAAGGGCTCATTGGAGAAGGGCTGAGGACGCCATTAGCATGTCAATGGCTTTCTCTCTTCTCTCCCCCTCTATGTCTTTTGCACCAGAAAGTTTGCAGCACTCTCCACCTCCCCCTTTTTACTCCTACCGGCCAATTAGATTCCTGTTGATGGTTGTGTCTAGGGCTTGATTATGGATGCAGGCGGCAGCACTGCACGACTGCACTGCAAACACACTAAAGCAGGAACACACACACTAAAGCAGGAACACACACACATGCTGCTCAGCCACCGGAGTAGCACTGGCTCTTGTTAAGAATACTTGAAAACCCTCCCGATTTTCGCGGGAGACTCCCGATTTCATTGCCCTCTCCCGGTTTCCTCCCGGGGTCATATTTCTCCCGCATTTCTCCCGGTTTCTGACCAAATCAGATTTACACACGACTGTTTCCACTCTTACTTTAATACAGCTACACCATTGTTTGGTTTCCATGGTAACACGTCTCTTTAGTAGCGCGCGCAACTCAAAGTCTGACAGGGTGAAGCAGATATAGTCACAGAAAACAGAACAAGGATCGACAACTTCTCTGCTCACTCCTTTCCTGCCCACACATATGCTCCATCAAGGACGGTGCTACAGGCCGCAAGGCAGTGCACTTACAAATAAGCATGTTAATGTTAATCTAACAGCTCCGGCGATCCACTAGCACCCCCCCCCAATTTTGCATTTTGAAATGCTCCCGATTTCTGAGGTCTAAAGGTTGGCAAGTATGGGCTCTTGTTAAGCACTACAAAAACTCGAAATCTTGCCAAGTATATGTGTCTTATTTCGAGTCAGAATATGTCTTAACACCTGATATAAGACATAATAACTTCAGAAGTAACACTGCAGTGAGATATTGGGTCTTGTTTTTAGACAATGCTTCATCTTGTTAAGTCAAATAAATAAGTATCTCAGTTGAAACTTATTTTCTTTCACATATTTATTGGAAAAACACCAACTAACATCAGAAAACAGAACACTTTTGAGCATTTGTGGCTTATATTGTAACAACATCTCCTGATTCTGGTCAAATATAGTTCACAACTAGTTCTCCCAGCTAATTACAAGATCTGATTTATTTAAAAATCTTACCAAGCAAATGTTCAATTGATCTATTGGCAGATCTTTGTACTTATTTCAAGTGAAAACGTCTTGTTTTCATTATTGTTTAACTTGTTTTATCCAGTGAGAGTATTTTTGTTTTCAAAGAGATGTCCCTCTCTTGGCATATACTGTATATATGTGAGGGTGCCAGGAGACCCCCTGCTGGGTGTCACTGGCCTCATTTTACTCATCCTCCTCCATCTCCTCCTCTTCTCTAATCGCACTGCCAAAGTTAGAAGGTTGCCTAAATGTCTAGAAGTAAGAAGAGCATCAATCTGATCCACGTCTTTATTTATTTCTCTCCTCTCCCAAAGGGATTACTTTCATTCACGAGAGGAGCCACGGCAGACAATTATCTAGAATTGATTAATTGCCTTCCCGGGACAATAGGCCAGTGGGACAAAGTTGTGACCCAATATTCAGAGGAGCCCGCCAACTGAGACCAACTAAGAATCAACACTAAACTAGGTCAGTATTACAGGAGCCAAATGGAGAGCTCAAACAAATAGTACACTTCAGGGAGTTTTCCCTTTCCTGTAGTGTGTTATAAAGGTTTTAGTGGAAGGTCTGAAAACGCCAAAATCTCCAAATTCCTGCCAGTTACTCTCCCACACATTCCCCCGCTGCCTGAAACGCCTCCATTGGACAGATTGTACTTGATAGGCTAAGGGGCGGGACATCTCTAAGCGGGTGACCAATCACAACAGAGCCGGCCAGCTAACCAAGGTGCTGCAGCACAGGCAGTATGAGAAAAATAAAGACCTTTTTGAACATTAAAGCATGGAGACATGTAGAGACACTACATACTGATATACACCTGAACATCAGCAGGAGAGGACTCTTTAAAGTAGAGACACTACATACTGATATACACCTGAACATCAGCAGGAGAGGACTCTTTAAAGTAGAGACACTACATACTGATATACACCTGAACATCAGCAGGAGAGGACTCTTTAAAGTAGAGACACTACATACTGATATACACCTGAACATCAGCAGGAGAGGACTCTTTAAAGTAGAGACACTACATACTGATATACACCTGAACATCAGCAGGAGAGGACTCTTTAAAGTAGAGACACTACATACTGAACATTAACAGAATATGTCCCCTCTAACTAAGGCTGCTTCACCATGTGTCTCATCTTAAACACCTACATGCAGTCTAGGACAATTTAATAATTTAGGTGTGAATTTTCCCAGCAGTTATATAACTCATGTGCTTTCTCTGGATCTTCATTATGCTTGAATTAAAGCTCAGCAGAAGGGACTAACATTGTGAAGCCCCAAGACTCAGTGGGGAACTCTGCAGGGATCAAATAGGTTCTAAGTTAATCACGTTTCTTTTTCTTAAATGCTCAGTGCAGGGTATATGGCTCTTTAGGAATTTAAACTGAAATACAGTACATTAAATTAGGACTTTTAGGAGACCTGCTGCAAATCTGCTGAGTGCTCCTTTCTGTTTAAAGTATAAATAGATCTTTCATTTCACAGATCATGAAGTAAATCGACTTTGCTTGAAGGAGTGGAAGTTCATGATTTCGGATGAATAGCCTCCGCATGAATCCTCGGTAATGAGTGAAAGCGGCAGAATGAACTGAACTCTCCACCGCCTAATGAGCCCGGCTGGGATTTATTTTATTGCTTTTACATCAAGTTTATATTAATAGACATTCAAGGGTTGTTTTTGGATTGTTCAAACTGCCAGAGGAAATAAACCTCATCATGATGTTTGATTGTTCGTGACAAATGAAAGCTCCACAAAATCACCAGTACTTTATACCTGCTCAGCAAAAAGACAGACAGACTAAATGAGCAACTAGCTGTTGAAGAAAGTGGAATGTTAAGCAGCGAAAGAGATAGATATTGCGCTTGGGGAATAATTATGAAAGCTAAAAGAGACTAGCATTCATCAGCTGGACAGAAACTGATTTTAAAAGTTCATAATAATCATAATAACTTAACTGCAAAATAACTTTATAGAGCAATTATGTGTTAGGAGAAGTTTTTTTTGGAGTAGTTCCTCCCGTTAGTGGCAACAAATATTCAATTCAAGTTTATTTATATAGCCCAAAATCACAAATCCTATTTGTCTCAGAGGGCTTCACAAGTCAACAAACACAATTGGCAATGTAAAACAATGTAAAAACAACAAACGCATCTTACAAGATCAATGTGAAAATACCAATTTAAAAAGGAACATAACACAATGACACAAATACAGTTCGAGTACAATCAATACAATTCCATAAAACGAAGGGTCCATGAGGATGTTTAAAAGGGGGTTTAAAAAAAGAAAATATAAATTCAACCATATTTTGTCCAAGCTGCTCAATAATATTGATCCAATACAAAGTGTCAAAGCTAACTTTGACAAACAGAAGTATATGTGTGTAGTCATTTTAAAGCCACCTGATCAATTTAAGTCCAGCGTTCACACTGTTAAAGGTCCGTTTACGATTCTGCACCCAATTGAAATGTTATCATGCTCTTAAAAAGGTGTTTTCGCTGATGTTACAATACAGTACGTCATTCGAGAAACGGCACCTAACATGTTGTAAAAGAGAGAGCGATGTAAAACCGAATGATACTTAACGTTTTGAAGACACCAATATCATTTCTTAAGGTTTAGGCAACAAAACGACTTAAGTAGGCGGAGTAAAAAGTTGTATTTCGGTTCAAATAACTAGGTTTTAGGAAAAAAGTTTAATTGAAATTGCTCCTGTCGTATTTACTACAATCACTACAGGTCTGAGTTGTCTTTTTGTATTCCTTCTTTCAGTAATCCACTGAGTAGACCCCTACTGACCCACATCTATACTGTAATAACCACTCGTATTTCTTTTAACAGGCTGATACTAGAGATGTCCCGATCCGATCACGTGATCGGGGATCGGAGCAGATCACGTGATTTTCAAAAGATCGGAATCGGGAGGAAAAAAATCGGGGATTTTTTTTTTTTTATAAATGTTGTATTCAATGTTACAAAACAAAAATGACCATGTTCAAGTCTTAAAGTCATCCTGAGGCCTTAGTTTTGGTTTCAAATTACACAACATCATGTATGTGTTGCTTCTTTGGGGCTTGTTTTCATAGACCTGGTTGCTTATTTCTCTCAAATCTGGCAACAGAGTGGGCAGGGTGCAGTGTCTAATTGTAGCAGTAAGCTAACGAGTACTGAAAGCTTTATTTTGTTTTGATCCAATGCTGCACAACTGAACTGATCCAATGCTGCTGTGAAAGAAAGAAGCTATATCCATGTTGGATAGAATATCCAATTTAAATAAAAAAATAACCTTAAGGGACAACTTGAATGCTTTTTTTTCTCTTAATGCATTGCATAAAGATCGGATCTAGAACTGATTTTGTCTTGTCTTATGGTACTTCATGTGCACTTATAGGTACGGTGTCGTGTGACGAATAGACGTACCGGTGACTCTGGTGTGGGGATGTCCGTGACAATCCCTACAGGGCTAGTGGAAAAAAACGAGGCTAGCTAAGGCTAGTAGAATAAACTGTTAAAGGGCTATGG